TTCTGAAGTTGTGGATTTAGTTTAGCCCAGGGAACACTCTCCAAATAGAAGAGGGTAACCCTAGAAAGGGAACTTGAAATCCATGTATCCTCTATATGGGTCTCGTTACCCCCCCAAAAGGTTTTCAGTTGTGCCTTGCAATAATGAATCCAGTCCAAGTCACTGCCTTAGTTTTACCAAGTTGCCTCTTAACAGTTCTGAGGAAACATCCTTTTTTGTAATAATCTCTTCTTTCTCTTCAAGCTGATCCCTTTACACTGGGGTGTAAATAACTGGGTTTTGGTAGTGGTAGTGGGGTTGCAGAAGTGGCCTCAGTGAAAAGAGGTATGGGGCTGCCTTGCGTCAAAAACAGCTGACCCAGAAATAGACCCACTGCACAATGAAGCTGAGCCAGCCGAAGTTTGTCACACCTGTCTAAAAAATATTTTAAAGAAAGGGCAGAAAAAAACTAAAACTGAAAGGATCAGTGTATGGTGAGCAACAAGGTCGCAGTAGGAGGCACTCCATGCTGGAGCAGGGACAACCCCAAAGGGAGGGCAGTCAGTGGAGAACCCACAGCTGAGCAAAGCACACAAGTAAACACAGCAAAAGAACAGAGAAACAAGGAGCAGCAAAGAGAAACTGTTACATACTGACCTCTAACTCCTGCATCATACATTACCCTCTCTTAAAGTCCTACATATAACTTGCACCATTAACAAGAGGGGAAGGGAGGTGTCTGGAGTGAAGTTAAGCCTGGAACAGAAGAAGAAAAAGTGTTTTCACAAAGTGTTTAAATTTTTGATATCTTTCTTTCCCAATGCCCAAATCACTAACTAAATTATTATGCTAATGGGCAATAAATTAATTTAATCCCCAGCTGGAGTCTGTTTTGTCAACAATAACTGGTGAATTATTTCCTTGTCTTTATCTTAACTCATGAGTTTTCTCACTGTGTTCCTCTCCTAGTCCTGTCCTGTTGTGGAGGTAGAAGTGTGAGAGCTTGGCTGGCAGCTGAAGCCAACCCATCACAATGAGGAATGTGTCTAGACTTTTAAATTTTTAATTACCTGGGAGTACAAATTTGACAGGATAACAAGCTGTTTCAGTAAAGGACTTACTTGATCAAATTCAAGTTTCTTGTAAATAACATTATTCATGCTAATTAAAATGCCTCCATCAGAAATGAGAAAATAAATAGCACTAAAGGAACCTTTAAAAAATGCCCATCTCACCCAATGCATAGAGTCTGAATTTTAATTTTTCTTCAAAAGGGAAATAAAATATCAGCCAATACTAACCCTTTAGGAGTTGCTTCTGGTAAAAAATTGATATTCTATAAAGAATAAGGCTTTCTTTACAGAAATGTTTTTCAACAGATGATAGAGACCCATTTGAGCATCTATTTTATAACTTTTCTGTCCTTGAAATTGAGAAAATTAACTTGGACTATGTTAAATATTTTGATATATTATTATCAAGATATATTTCTCTATTCCCTCTTTCTATAATAAGGATCACAGTCCCTGTCACCATGACTGTTTTAAAACAGATGCCACAAATTACAGCCCAGAAAACTGAGAACTAGTGTTTTAAAAGTGTAAGGAGGAACATTTTGCTTTTAGAAAGCTGTATAAACAAACAAATAAATTTTGGAGGACTGCAATGATCTCTGTTGAAACTGTGTTACTTACTAAAAAAAATCTACAGAATCTATAGTAAATGATTTTGTATTTCATACTGCTATTTCTCTAGTGTTTGGGGGACAGGGGGACCCAATATTTCTGACCAGTCTGAATACTGGATGTTTGACTATAAAAACCAAAACTGATTCTCTGTGAGAGAGTGAAGAAAACTTCAAAAGCAAAATTAACTCAAGCAACTTTAACTACACTCATAAGTAAATCAGAGTAAAACTAAAAACGTATTTTTTCAATTACTGTTCCTTTAACCATGCAAAAAAATCTAACTTCAATCTAATCGTAGATGGACACCTAGTGGTATAATATAATTGATTCCTTTATTCAAATGGTTTCATAAATCTAAAGCAAGCCCTATGAATAAAAGGGATTTCTAGCATATTAAAAACTAAAATATACACAAACTTAAAGGCTTTATTTTCACCTATGCTTTCCCTACTTCTTATTTTCATAAAAGTACCATCTGCAGCAATCAGAGATCTAGGTTCATAATCAGAAGCCTTCAATCAAGGAAAATTTAATTTTCTAGGGAAAATACTTTAATATAATCACTAGGTAGGGGTTCGGTCCTGAAAATACAATACTTAGATAGCCTATGTAACAATACATTTGTGATACTTTGCACAAAAATAAACCAAGATCAGTTAGTCTGTTAAAGAAAATATTTTATGCACTGAAGAATATAAACAGACTTGCTCTGGAGCAGCCAAGCAAACCAGGCCCATAAATATAGATATAAAGAGTTGCTCCTACATAGCTGAAAAATATGGGCAAAGTTTCCCTAAATTATTGCAGAATCCATTTAACATTTGTGTATACGCATTCAACAAGTTATTGATGAAACAGGTATTGATATTTCAAGATGTTCTGAACAAACAGCAGCCATTCTTTAGTGAGCTATTTTACCTTCCTTAGCTTCTTGTCACTTTGCTCCATACCTCTAACTCCTAGCTCTCCCCAAGTCTTTAAAATATAAACCATCACATGTCTAAAATAAATTAACCTGACATTTACTGTATTGAATCAAACTGGAAAACACAAACCTACAATCTTTTAATGTAGGATGAAGAGATTATTCAACACACTTCAATTATAAAAATAATACAAATGACATTAAGGGGGAGGAGGCCAATGGAGTGATTAGTTTTATTTATTTTATAGTAGTGACAACTACTATTCTCTTGCTGTACTTGGAACTATAAAGGAAGAGATTACCTATAGTCTGACAACACATGAAACAGCACAGACCATGGAAGCAATGAGAGAACACTGTCCTGGCTAAGCAACAGTGTCAAAATATGAACAGTACTTCAGGTAGAAGGTTTGGAAAGCAACTTGTAGAAGAAGAGCACTTGGAAAGGATATCATTCATAAGAGAGATGTAATCTGGAAGGCATTTCCATACAGGGGCATTTAAAGTTTCCCACACAGTGGTCTTCTTTAACAAGTAGAGGAAAATGTAACCATTGATAAAATATATGGGATGCTGATTCTTAAAATGGCGAAGGGGGAGGCCCATATGGAATGTGAACACAGCATATCCAGCTTCTGTTCTGAACAAGGTGGTCATCTATTGCAAAGATTCACAAGTTACCTAAAAATGGCAAGAAATAAAAAGGAGAAAAGCCAGTGCTGCATCAGAGTATGCAATTTGGGAGAAAATAAACCCCCTTGCATTTCAGCTAGTCCTCAGAGATCAGAGGTGCTGGGTGCAGGTAGGCTGAATTTCTGATTATAACCAATTTGGCCCTGTAAGTCTAGTCACGTTCAATAAGAACTTTTACAATCACAAATTCTTGAAAGGTGCAGTTTATTAGAGTAACAGAAAAAGCAGCCATTGATAAACACATCTATTGCATTAGTGGTAAATATATCAAGGCTATCTGGTGATTAATTGAGCTAAATTAACAATTCAAGCTAAAGCAACAAATTCAGCTTTTCACTAAGCTTAACTTCACTGCTAATTAGCTTGGTTTCACCAGAGTATGCTCTGACACCGTCAGCATTGCAAATCTTAACAAAAAAAGGCCTGCCTGTTTTGGGGAGGAGAAAGGAACAAGCCTAATAACTAGTCTGTGAACTGAGGTCATATTGTCATCCTCTCCATGGAGGATTCCAAATGTCAGTGTGTCATGGTTTGACACTGGCAAAATGCCAGTGCCCCCTGAAAATGCAATCTCCCAACCGAATGCTGTGAAATGCGATCGAGAACAGAGCAAAGCAGGCCCAAGCTTAATAACAAAGGAAAAAAAACTTTATTAAGCTACTACTACTATACTACTATAAAAGGAAAAAGAAAAAGGAAAAAGAAAGAAAAAAAAAAACCACACACAAAATTCAAAATGAAAACCTTCCAAAGCATTCCTCCTCCCACCACCCAACTCCAACAAACCACAATGAGACACAACCTGGACCCCAATCAGGTTTCCACCCTCCAGACAATTGATTCTCAGTCCATTGAGGGAGAGAGGAGCCCCTCCTGTGCCACAGACCCCCCAAGAAACACAGCTGCCACATCCTGTGCTTCCATGTCACCATATGGCACTGTGCGGAGAGAAAAGTTTGCCAATGGTGACCCTCTCCTTTCCATGCACAGTCCTCTCACCACCAATGCATGGATGGACAGACTGCTTTTAGGATTTTTTCCTTTCAAGGATGCCCTGCCAAGAGGGGAAAAACAACAGTTCCGTTTTTCATTTTTGGGACCACAGTCCTCCCCATTTTCCCCTGGGGCCAAGGGTCCAAGAACAGAGATCTTCTTCTCTTCTTCTTCCCTGAAGACAGGGGGCACCACCACAAACCTCCCTAACTTTTCTCTGTTCACTCCATTTCTGTCTTTTCCCAGCTGAAGCATGGTCTCTTTGGCTCACCGGCATCCTCCTAAAATACAGTCTCTCTTGGAGGAGAAGATCAGTTCAGTCTGTGGCTACCAAGAAAAAGCCCAGCCAAAAGCTACTCCATCATCTCCTCCCACCTAGAATTTCTCCTTCTAACATCCCAGGGTCCAAGCTATCTCTCTTCCTCTCTTTCAAACCGAGGAGAAAAATTTCACAAAGCTTTCATTTCTCAAGGAAGGATTAAAAGTCCCGACTCCCAAGGATGGCTTGCTGCCCAGGCTCCAGCTCTCACGGGCAGCTGGGAACCTTGCGGCCTCCCCACTCTTCTCCTTCCCCGTGGCGAACTGCTGACAAGCTGCCGCTGTCTCTTTCTCTTTCGAGCGAGAGACTCTGGTGGGGGTGGGAATGGAGACATCCCAGATTTCTCCACCGTTCCATCTGCAGGAGGCCAGCCCGGTTCCAGTCCCTCCACCCTTGGGCCTACCTCCGACGGCCACATGGTGTTTTCCTCCCCCACCCAGCTCATCGCCGGACAGGGGAGAGGCTGCACTGCACCTTGACCGGAACCAAAAAGAGTGAGTTCTCCTGGGAATTCTGCTTTTAACCCCTCTGTGTTCTCAGAGGCGTGTCCACCTTCAATTGGTCAATATCCAAATTGACCTCTTCCTTCTGAGAAAATTATTTTTCCGTGTCAAACCACGACACAGTGTTATATTTTTGGGTAAACAGGAGTGGGACTGTAGTCAAATATAACTGGTCAAATGTTGCTACTGATATAGGTGGGGGGGCAGCCCCTTTCTCATTTTCATATTGATCAGTGTATTTTTTCACATGCAAAGGAAGGATGATGAGAGGCTTTTTGACCTTTGGTCAAACTAAGCTATGGGACTTACAGAAAAATCAAAGGCAGAATCAGCATTGCTTCCTCTCCAAAAAGTCAAAGTAGCAGTAAAGGCCCAGTAGTCTGCTTCCATCAGCATGTTAAAACCATACATCATCGGACCAGATCAAAGGACCAGATACACACTTCTAACAAGGCCTGTTACACCTGGGTAAGGAGGATTCACATCTCAGGGTCAACACCCCTGTACAGAAGTGTCAGGGCTCTTCTGTGCTTCACTGAGACAACTTTGGGCTGGGAGGCCTCTGTTTCACCCCACACATTATGCTGGTAAGCCTTGCTTTATCCAGGCGCAAGACAAGCGTCTCAGCTCACACTGGCTCAACCAGCCTCAACAATTCTCCACAGCAAGCCTGGCAATTTTCCACAGACAGTGATAGTCTGGTTTGTGACAGCCTGGTACAGAAAGTTGTGCAAGGATCTCCTGTGTATGTATTAAACAGCCTGTGAAATTAAATGCTGTCAAACCACAGGGGGAAGAAACCACATTAGGTACATAATGACAGATGCTAAACCATCAATCCGTTCTCAGAAAAGCTGCGTCATTCTGGAGAGTGCTCAGAACTTGGGTCAATACTAAGCAGTGGTTAAAAGTGTAAATAGTGTTAGGAATCATTATGAAACAGAATGAAACAATGCACAAGGTACAAAATTAATAAGACAACTCTAATACTGCACACTATTCTGCTCACTCCATGTCAAAGGAAACATTGTGAGATTAAAAAGAGTTTAAATGTGTGACAAAATAAAATAATGGTAGAAAGATATAGTAAAGAACACAAATTTATGGGCAAATTAAAAAATGTGAGTGATAGGATCATAATTTTTTATAAGAAGGGGAGAGAATGGAAAAACACACTGAAAAACAGCATGGAAGTTGGTTTATTATTTTGGTTTTTGATTTGGTTTTTTTTATGGAATGTTGTGCAACAAATTTAAACATTCCCACAAATACTTTGAATGCCAAAATCAAAATGTGCTAAAGCAACAATTACATTAATTAATTGAAAACAAGCCCAGCAAGCAGTATCAGAGGCAATAATGTGAGTTCAACCCACTGCCTACGGGAAGCTGAGACAAAACACTACTTTATCTTGTTCCTGTGCTCTTTAAACAGGCACTAACTGCACTCCAGTCAGAGGAATAAAGGACCAGAGTAACTTCTGTTCTGACTCTGTATTGCCTCAACAGAGTGAAAGTAACTGTGGAGGAATTCACAGACCAGATCATACCAAAGGTTTGTGTCTTTGGGGTTTCCAGTGCCTGCGGTGGGGGGAAGCACTGAAAGCATTATAAAGCATTAAAAAGCTTTGTCTGCAGTCAAATGAAAATAGGCATGGCAACAAGCAAAATTTAGGTAAGAAGCATCACCATCATGCAAATGTCTATCCCTATGAAAAAATGAGGAGAAGAAGAGGCAGAGAAGCAAGAATCAAAATCAGGAGGCAGGAAGAGGAGCTGGGAGACTACAAACTACAGCATTATGTGAGACAAAAGGAAAAGAGGGACAAAAGTATCTTCAGAGGAAGAACAAATAAGAATGAACTGATTCGGTCTTGTTAGCAATGAAAAACTATGACACAGAAACAGAGACCTGAATTTGTTCATCTGATACTGCCTCTGCAAAAAGGCATGGGCTTGATGGAATAATATTAAGATAACACATAAAGCTATGATCTTCCCAGAGAATATTGACTGCAAAAGGCAGGCAGGAAGGAAAGAAAGCAAGCATAAAATGAGATTAGGAAGGAAGACACTTAAGGCAAGTAAAATGGGGGAAGTAAGGGATACTCAGAGCAAATATCAATAAAGGGAAGAAAAACTGAGGCAGAAGATGACCTGGATGTGGAATTGGGATTTGTGACAGTGGAAAAAGGGATTTAATAATCTTAGTGGAAGTGGTTTTCTGCACAGCATCTTGGGAGGCAAGAGTTAACCATATAAAAATTTAAATGTCTAGGATATATCAACATGAATTGGAAGAAATTTTTCTTCCTCATCTAGAAAGAAAATGAGCCAATTTTAATATCTGGCTCCAAAAGTAAACCACTATGAGCAAAAGGCAAAAAATTTATATGTGTGAAGTCTTAGCTACAGTCATGACCTTAATAACTTACTGTACTTTTTGTACATTTAAAAGCCTTTTGCAGAATTTTAGAGAGGATTAGTAAGAAACAGAAACACACAAGCCATTTATTATCTGAAAAGGGCCAATCATAGTGACCATTAAATAGTGAAAAAATAGTTCTTCAAAGTGACATTTTTCATTAGCTGGAAGAGGTCTTAGCTTATGTTAGAGAATAAGTTGTTTTGGCATGTAGATTTAAGTAAGGAACAGCATTATCTGTGGTTTGTTCAGTTCAGCCTCCTTTTCATCATGCATGTCACTCTGAATACTGCAGAGTTACATTTGATTAATGCTTAATCTCTAGCCATGATACACAAATTAATTTTAGGCTATGCAAGTTACACCACTACATCTCAACATCAAATTGAAGCAGACCCTGACTGAAACTTCTTCATTTTCATGGTATCATTAAGGAAATATGGAACAAATAGAGCTTTATTCAGAAAAACCCTTTAGTGTAATGCGAATCTTTTCTGTGCTCAGACACAATCCATAAAATATACTTTGAAAGAAAAAGAAAACTCAAGTAACTTTATAAGGAGCACAGCCAAAAAGGAAAGCTATGAAGAACACAAGAACTGCCCCCTACATGGCAGATCACAAAAACAAAGTTCCTTTTTGCACCAAATGTTACTGTATTTATATAAGTGCAGTTGGTAAAGCACAGAACAGCTAAGGAAGAGAAGACGGAATGGGAACACTTAACTCTGTACTTAAGAAAATTATAGGGAAAATAACAGACTTCAGTATTTCGGTACCTAGTACTTCTGCATTTAGCTGCACCTCTAACTAACTAAATCTATAATCAGAAAACAGACTGAAAAGACACACACAAAAGGAGAGCTGCAGAACAACTTGCCAGACAGTATTTTTATATCTCATGAAAACAATGCCTTTCAATAAGCTGTATTTTCAGGCAGAAATAAAAGCCTGAAGAATCACAGAATTATCCAGGTGAGAAGGAACCTCGTCCAAACTTCTGTGGGAAGGGGAGCATAGATGAGACTAGCAACCTGCCTATACCCTCTTGAAAACCTCCAGCAATGTCCCCAGGGAGGCTGTTCCAACAAATTGTCAATGCGTCTATAAAAATTTTCTTTCTTATCACAAGATGAAACCTCTCCCAGTGCAACCTGTTCCCATTACCACTTGCCATGTCCCTCCCTTGTGGAGGGACCCCACTCCTCAAGAATCCCACCCCTCAGATTTCTCCTAACTGCCTTTTATGGTAGAAAAAAACAAAAGAAAATCCTGAACATTCTAGCTATGCAATCTAGGTTACAAAACTGCTAGCCTGATTTTTTTATTTGTTGTAATGAGGATTCATACAATAAACATGGGTTTTCTGTTTGCTTTCCATTTTCTACCTTTATGACAAACAGATGCACACGGAAAATGCTCTCCTTTAAAGGCTAGAAAACCCTGCCTCAGGACGATTAACCATGTCCACCTCTATTAAAAATTGAGAAATGGGAAAAAAAAAAAGAACAATCCACTCTGCAAACCCTGGGCTGCACCTGCTTCCTTCACCCGTGACTGACAACCACGGGAGAGAAGGGATGGTAGGGAATCCAGGGAAGTGATTCTTCACCTGTACTCGGCAGTGCTGAGGCTACACCTTGAGTGCTGTGTCCAGTTCTGGGCCCATCAGTTCAGGAAGGCACTGAGGTGCTGGAGTGAGTCCAGAAAGACAAGGGAGCTGGTGAAGGGTGTGGCACACAGGTCCTGTGGGGAGCGGCTGAGGGAGCTGCGGGTGCTCAGCCTGCAGAAAAGGAGGAGAGCCTCTCCTCTCTGGGGAGACCTTACTGCTCTCTACAGCTGCCTGAAAGGAGGGCGCATCCAGGCGGGGTCTGTCAGCGACAGGACAAGAGAATGGACTCTTAACCTGTGCCAGGAGAGGCCCAGGTTGGGCATTAGGAGGAATTTCTTCACCGAAGGAGCGATTAAACATTGGAATGGGCTGCCCAAGGAGGTGGCGGAGTCACCGTCCCTGGAGATGTTTACTGGACTCGTATCACAGTCTGTTTGACACGGTGGTGTTCGATCATAGCTTGGGCTCGATCACCTCAGAGATATTTTCCAACCTGATTCTGTGATTTTGCAATTCAGTAATCACCTCCCTGCGCGCCCCGGCCCCGCCCGCCCCCGCGCGCCCGAGCACGCGCAGCGCCGCCGTGGGCGCGCGGTGGGCGTGGCCATAAGGCGACGGGACCGACGCGGGGGCGTGGCCAGACATGGGGGCGCGGCCGGCGGGCGCGGCGGGGTCAGGGAGGCGGGGGAAGAGGCCGGGCGGGCGCGGGGCTGCCGGCGGAGGCGGGGACAGAGACAGGGTGGGCTTGGACGGGAGCTGTCGCTGCTGCCGCCGCTACCGCCGGCACCGGGAGGGCGCTGGCCATGGACGCCACCACGCTGGAGCTGGACGCGGTGAAGTTCGCGAAGCTGGCGGTGCAGCGGGACCAGAGCGGGCGCTACCAGGAAGCGGTCTTCTACTATAAGGTACGGCGGGGACGCGCCGGTTCCCTCGGGGCGCCGCTGTCCCCTTCCCCTCGCCGCGGGCTGCATGATGGGCTTGAGCTGCGGGAGGGTTCGCGCTCCCCCCTCGGCCCCGCCGAGGGCCGGAGAGGAGTGCTCGGACCCCCGCGGCCCGGCACGGCCCTGCAGGCGGAGAGAGACGCGCCGGGTCAGTGCGGCCGCCCCCGCCCTGCCCGGCGGGTGTGCCCCGGGAGCGAGCTGCTCGACCGGGGAAAACGAGGCGGTGCCCGCCCAGACGAGAGCGGAAGGACGGGCGTGAGCGTCGAAAGTTTGTCAGTCTTCGGAGGAGCCGCGTTCTTCAGGGCGAGTTGCGAAACGCCTTTTCCCTGCGTCCTGGTTTTAGGTGGGAACGAGCGCTGCCCGTGCGCCGATGTTTACCGACAGGCTTAGGGGTAGCACTGCAGGCACTCTGCTGAAAAAACGGGAACGGGTGCTTCTTCCAGCCGCTGGAGACACAGCCCCTTCAGTGCTTCTGGGAAGATTCACCGTGACCTAAAAATGTCTCTGCCCCGCTGGTTCTACACGTTCATTCCTGGCCTCTCCCCAAGCCCTGCCTGGCCAGAAAGACTGATCAGTTTTATGCTGGCTGTGTAAGCGCTGGGCATTTTGGAGAACCGCAAGTGGGCATACTGCCGCTCCTGGTGTGCAGCTGGGAGCAACTCTCTTGTAAAATCACCAAATAAATAGAGAGGTCTGTGGTGAAATATAAGATGCTCAGCAGTAAGACAGCTTCAGGTCACAAGCTGTCAGTGATAGGCTTTTAACGTAGTGTGAATATTCTTTCCATTAGGGACCAGATTTGATTCTTTCAGTAGACTTTCGGGTTGGTGTAGCAAAGGGTATAATGAGGTTTATTCAGATATCTATAGGCTTACTGCTAGTATTTAGAAGTTTTTGTGCAACCATTAGGCATTTTTCACCTATGTAAATTGTCTCATTTTGTTGTTTTATGTGTCGTAAAATTGCATTGAAGTTCCCTATCCCATTGACTTCTCACCCGCGAGAAGGGATCTCTGAAGCCTCTGTTTATCGTTATCACAGTAATCATTCTACAGATTCCATTATCCTGACAAAGTCATTCTCTTCCAATAACTTGTTAAGGGATCTTTAGTTGGCCTTTTATTTCATGAGTACAAGGTGTCTGTGAAATATTTAAAAAGCATAATGTTAATATCTTGATGGCCTATGCATGTAAGTGTGAAAGAATAGGAAGAAGAGTTTTGGGTGGTTTTTTTTTAACCTAGTTGTTGATTGTGCGGGGGCCAAATTTATATATGTAAACCTTGTATATACAAACGTTTTAGTTGCCCATAATAACACCAATAAGCTCTGTGTTCAGCAGCAGCAGTGTATGTGCATGGTCTGATAACTATGTGCAGTACTTCTTTAGTACTTTGTATTTCTCCTTTTATGTGGAAAAAATTACTCCATGCTATTCAGAATGAAAATATCTTTTTGTGTAAATAGTCACCCTTGTATGCTTTTGAACATACATGTGTGTGGAAAATCCTTTTCACATACTGTATACAGGTGATAGTCTTGCTAAGTGGAAAAATGCACCCATGGCACTCTTGATGCACTTGAAGCTATGCGAGACAAGAGAGTAACCTGGATACATTTGGCTTTCTGGATGTTGCCTGAAGACTCACTGCCATGTTAGATTATACTAAATAGTTACAAAATGTCATTTATTATTTCACGGATAGTTTGTTTATTTATTTATTTATTTATTCATTTATTCCAGCACAGTAGAAATAAGCTCTGGCCTGTCACCATCTTTCTTATCAAGTGCTCTAAGAAGTTCAGAGCCCACTGGTGCAATTACTAAACATGTGGGAAAGTTTGGAACTTGACCTTAAGGATGAAATATGGAAAATGCTGCAGTTGTTGCCATAGTCAAGACTAAAATGTGTGAATGGAGTTCCTATGGTTAGCAAGTGTGCTTGGCTTCCTGCTACCATGTAACTTTGATAGATGCCTAGTGGAGTGCTGCATGTGAGCCAGCTTCGGGCAGTTTGCTAATTAATGGAGCTCTGCAGAAATGTCAGGATCATATTTGGACACTGATGACTTCAGCCAAAACTGCTGAAGGCTGTTGCTAAGTCTGGCTGTTGACCAGCCTTTAGCAGCTTGCAGACTGATCAGTAGTTTTCTTAGTGTGACTGTGACAAACAGTAGTGACATTGGAGAGATCATAAATGCTAAGTCTGAATTGCACATCCATCTGGTCACTGGAAACAGCTGGCATGCTGGCTCCACAAGCATTCTGTCATCTGCTTCAGTCCTTTGCAGGTTTGGTTTATAAAAGGCTTGTTTCCATTATATTTACATCTTAAAACCAGGCAAAACCAATTGTGCTTGAAATCACAGAAGCAACATAAATTATACACTTGTTTTGTAGCACTGGCTTGGTGATCCAAATTTGTTCTTTGCCTCTTATGTAGACCAAGTACCTTTGTGATACACCACCTGTTTTGTCAATCTGTACTTGCAGTATGTCACAGACAAATCTACCCATCCCTTGAGCACATAACTGTAGTGTACTTTTTTCCCTTGCAAAAAAATAGTTGTGTGCTAGACCTTAATGGTGGTCAATTGCTGCGTATAAATGGTACTTCTGCTTACCATTTAGTAGCTGTGGATGTTTTGTGTGATGTAACATGGAGATGGATGCTGGCAGGGAGCACACATTACTACGTTCTGTGATGTTTCTCAGTGAAAATTCATCCTGATAACAAATACAGGCTCTATCAGGATCAGCTTTAAGTTTGGGCAAACTCAAAAGATGGCTATGGGAGCAAACTGCTAAACTTGACCAGAATAATGGCCATAAAGCACACAAGGGAGCCATGGCCGTGGATCTGTGCATGCCCTGTGCAGGGCAGCCCCCCTGAGCACCATCTCTGTGAAGCAGCTCTCTAGTTTCTCTTCTGCTTTGTGCCTTCCCAGCCTGCCTGCCACTGACCACCTCCTCTGCTGCTGGTGGGAAGGTGAGCACTGCCACAAAAGTGAGTTTTCCCATGTCAATAATGAGGACAAAACAAAGTTTCTGTGGTCATTTTTGTGGGGTGACAAATGTTGATTCTCGATATGGTTCAGAGACTGTGTCAGCTCTGGCTATTTATTGCAACCCTGCCAACCCTTACGTGTTTTTCATAAATTCAGTGAAGGGATAGACAGCTTATGCAATTGAAGGCGTTTTTTCTTAATAGATTTGTACAGGATGGAAAAAGCCTTAATGTGGGTAACGTACTGTGCTTCTGAGCCAGAGGCCTACGCTCCCTCCTGAAAGCAGACTTCCATCCAGTATTTTGTGTACCTACAAATATTTTAAAAAACAGGTTTGAGAAGCTAGGAAGCCTCACATTTGTAGATGTTTCAAATTGAATAGCTTTATCTGGAGTAATAATAATTTTAAAAAACGCTTTCTAAACAAAAATTCTTGGCATTTGATTTTAAAAAGCTTATATATTTGTTTACTTTCATTATTACCAGATTAAATGCAAATAACTGGAATAGCTACTTTTTTGTCCTAACCTTAAATCCTCAGCTTTAAAACCAAACTGATTTCAGTCCATGCTTGAAGAGTTTTATTTTAAAATCTCCTAATTTCATGCATTACTAACATAAACAGGCCTACAATCTGATCATACAGAACTTCTGAATGTTTTTATAGTCTTATAGGTTGTCCCAAATGTGAGAAATTAAACATAATCTAGTTTATAACTTGGAACTTTTTCTTTTGAGCAGAATTTCCCTGCAGCCACTGAGTCTTTTTGCGAATGTAAGGGCTTGCTTTCATGCAACTCACGGCTGCTGTAGGCCCTCTGTTTATGGTAAGTAATTTTCTAGGCAACAAACATTAACTTTTTCTCCAATTCTTCTCCCTGCAGGAAGCTGCACAAGCCTTGATTTATGCTGGGATGGCTGGGTCCAACTTGGAAAATATTCAAGAAAAGATAAATGAGTACTTGGAGAGAGTTCAAGCTCTCCATTCAGCAGGTGGGTAAGGAGATTTCTAATTAAACCTCTGCTTAAATTAATTGAGTTGAAAGTTGTTTGCTGCTGTGAAATACATATAAATAGTGTTTGCACTGTTTTTATTATTCTAATTTTCTTGTCCTTTGTGAAGAACCACAAATCTAATGAGCACATCAGTGCTTTGAATTCTGATACATCATAAATTAAGCAGAGACTGACTTTCTAAGGACTTGGGTGTGGGTGTTCTTTGCTTTCAAATATTCTGAGGAGCCACATCTATAGAGCAAATGTGGGACAGGTGATTAATAAAGGTATTAAGTGACATGGGCACCTAAGTATATTGTCATAGGTGATGTGTTTTCACAAATGATGCAATATTTTACATAATTAAACATCCTTGTTCTCCATGTATTATGAAAGAGATTTCATTTACATTATTTCACATCTGAAGTATCCTGGAAGCTAACCACTGCTTCAGGGAAGTGTGATGGTGTTTCCTTGCCCTTGCATAGATGTTTTTAGCAAAGTTTAGAAAGATTTTCGTACCAGAAAAGAAAGAGACATTAGTCATCTGATTAGAGCTGCTAATGTTTTGGTGACACGTTCAGGATGTTTTTGCATGTCTGCTGCTGTAGGAGGATAAATACTGTTTTTTTCATTTAGTTCAATCACAGAAGACAGACCCTCTGAAGTCAAAACAACAGTTGGACTTGGAGCGTGCTC